GATGCAGGTGGATGCCGGCAGTGCCGGGCCAGGCCACCACCGCCCTGGCGCGGGACGCGGTCGCGGTGCCGCCCGTGCAGCTCCGCTCCCGCCCGCAGTGCACGTCTCCTACCTGGACGGGAAGGGCAACGTGGAGCCGCAGGGAGCCGGTGAGGGGCCGGGGGGGACGGCGGGGGCGCCCCGGGCGGGGGCAGCGCCCTGAGCGCCCGTCCCGGCAGTGCCCGGCGCCGTGTCGGCGCTCAGCGACGAGCTGCTCACCTACTACGAGCTGGTGACGCGGGCGGCGCTGGGCGACGACCCCCAGCTCATGAAGGTGGGTGCCGCCGCATGGGGGGGCGCGCGGGGCGGGGGGGCTGCGGGCGCCCCCGGCACCGCGGGCGTCCCCGTCCAGGTGGCCCTGCAGGACCTGCGGAGCAACCCCAGGATCGCGGCGCTGCTGCCCTACCTGGTCTACGTGGTCAGCGGGGTGAGCGAGCGGCCAGGGGGGCTGCACCGGGCCGGGGGGGCGGCACCGCCGCGGCGGGGCCGCCGCTGACGGCGCCGGGCGCCGCAGGTGAAGTCGGTGAGTCACGACCTGGAGCAGCTGCACCGGCTGCTGCACGTGGCGCGGAGCCTCCTGCACAACCCCTACGTGTGCCTGGGCCCCTACGTGCGCAGCTTGGTGGCCAGCGTCACCTACTGCGTCCTCGAGCCCCTGGCCGCCTCCATCAACCCCCTCAACGACCACTGGACGCTGCGCGACGCCGCCGCCATGCTGCTCGGCCGCATCTGCCGGTGCGGCGCGGCGCGGGACGGGGCGGCGGGGGGCTGTTGGGGAGCACCCCCCCGGCCACCCGCCGTGTCCCCGCAGGACGCACGGCGAGCGGGTGAGCGGCCTGGAGCAGCAGATCCTGCGGGCGCTGCAGAAGGTGCTGGCCGACCCCGTGCGCCCGCTCTGCTCGCACTACGGCGCCGTGGTCGGGCTGCACGCGCTGGGCTGGCAGGTAACGGGCGGCGCGGGCGGCGGGCGCCGATGCGGCGGCGCCGGCCTCAC